AAAAAATTGAAAGAAAAAAGAAAAAGAAATATGCAACTTTCATTATATGACTATCAGATGGTCACAATTATAAGTCTGTGTTAGACTTTTAAAAATTATAAACTATACTAAATAGAAATAACTCTACTATTTTTCTATCTACTAGAATATTTAACAAAAACTATATAAGATAAAACTTCAACTTGAAGATAAAGAATTAGCATAGGGTACTAGTTAATCCAGAAACAGTATTTTATGAGGTTTTAGCAGTTTAAAGCATGTGTATAAGTTGTGTTTATATTGCTGTATTGTTTATACAATCCTGATTAAGAAATAATACTATTAACTGTTTTGATGTTTTATATATCGATCTTTTAAAGAGAGTAAACTAAATTGCTTATTTTTTACAAAATTTTTCTTAAAAAAAAAAAAAAGTCATAAAGTAAACTAAACTATAGCTTTTGTAAGTGCTTAAACCTTCTGAAAGTTCCTTGTAAGTTTTATAGTTGTATAGAAATAATATATTTAACACTATTGTTTACTTTATAAGAGATTTTTGGTTTTCATCAACCATTTCTTCTATAGTTTCAGAACTTTTTTAAATTATCATCACAAAGTGATAGCTTCTTTTTCAACTCTATTTCAATACCTACTATGCATATCCAATGCTTCAAAGAAGTTTTCATAAAATTTAATATATTAACTATATCATTTTTCTGTACTTTAGCATTTTGAAAAGTTTGGTTTAGATAATTGTTAAAAAGAGTATATATAAAAATAGACAACTAATTAGTATACTTCAATTATTTTAATATACTAATTTTTTTATAATATAATAATGATTATTGATACTATAATTGAAAAAATCTAGATCAGAGTTTTGTTTAGTAAATTTATTTTTATTTTAATTAATAGATCATTATTATAAGTTATTAATAATATTTAAAAATTTTCATATTAAAAATAAGAGTAGTACTATTAACTTTATATATAATAATATCTAAATGCTGTACTTGTTTACAAAAGTTCTATAACTCAAAAACCTTATAATAGATTTATAGGATAACCTATATTAATAAGTTCTATAATAAGTTTATTGTTATTAGGATTGCTTAAAATTTTATTTAAAAGATATAAAAAAAATTAATAATAAAAGAAAATATTTATTTGACTTTTTTATATTTATTAAAATTCTCTTTTATTTTATTTTATTTTTTTTTATAGTTAAAGTTCCTGTTTTAGAGATATGATATTTTTATTTAAGTATATTAGAATATGGCATGCCACCAGAGACTTACCTTATATTAGAGGTTACAACTAATCACATGTGTACTTTTGGTGTCTAATTTAAGTAGTTTGCTTATATATTATTATATAAATTCTATACTAGTTGCTATACCTATAAGTCAACTAGGAGTCTTGTCTATTTAAACTCTCTGCATATACAATTCTTCTTATATTACAAGAATATCTTAAGGTTATACCTATTTAAGTTTCTGATACTGATCATTATCTTTAGAACTACTTTATTCTTGATAGGAAACTTATTAGAGCCTTTATGTTTTACATATACAGACCTAGTTTTATGCAACATGCTATAGTTACTTAATACTTGTAGTCACAGGAATTATTTATTTAACTATTATGTTATACTATTTCTATCTTTGTAAAGTTTACTAGAACCCCAATACCTATTTTTCCAGCATCTTCTTTATTATCTCCTACTAGTCACAACTCAAAACTGGTAGTTTTTTCCAGACTACCAATCCAGATAACCCAGTATGGTATACTTCTGTATTCTTTTCTTTTGGTAAATTTGGTAGCCTAATTGGTTATGTGTTTCTCTATACATATTTGATATCTGGTTTAATCTTCAATTCTTATAAAGATGTTTTATGAGCTTCAAACAGTTTGATAATACTGTTAAAAGTTTATACTATCTCTTTATTTAGAAATTTCTAAGTGAGTTTTTGTTACCTTAGTTCCTTAGTCTTCTACACCTAATAATCTTATCATGGGTTTGCACTAAAGTCTTATGCAATATTGGTTATACATTTCTTTATGTATATGTAATGTTACACTTCATATAGATGTTTTGAGCTCCCAATATTGGTAGGACCCAGCTTGGTGTACCTGGGTTACAACCACATGAGGTCAACTGATCAACAAAAAACAGTTACTGTAATGCAGATATAATTTTCAAATTTCATTATAGGTAGAATTTGAACCTTAAATCTGCCACTTGGAGGATGACAACCCAACTACTACACTAGAATCACCATCTTCATAAATTCTCTTTTATACTCTTATACTAAGTAATTTTTAATACAATTATTTGTAATCTGTTTAATCCATGCTATCTTTTATTAATTTTGTTAAACCTATGTTATTTTACACTTAATACACATGATATATTATTAGATTAAACAATTATAAATTATTTAATGTAATATAACAGTTTTGTAATCATACTTTTAGGCTATACAAAGTTAATTTTTTAATTTTTATAACCGTCCAGATCACTTTTTCTAAAAATTAAAATTAAAATTTTTTTTATATATAATTAAATTTTTTTGTCAATATATATATATAAAAAAAAAAAAATTTAAAAAAAATTTTAATTATGTAAAAAATTTTTTATATATAAAATTTTTACCCAGCCTGCCAGGTCATTTTTTTTTATTTTATGTTATAAGAACCAGAAATCAACTTTGTATAGACTTATTAAATTGTTCTTTATATGCTTTTTCAAAAGATTAAGCATCACTTCCTTATCTAAATACGACTCTAACGCGATCAAAAAAACTGAATTTGGAAACTTTTGCGCTAATTCTCTTGCAAAGGTCGGAAAATCCGGAAAATCATCTAACATCATTTAATGTAAACAGCGAAAGCATAAATATAAGAATAAAAAAAAATCATTACAAAACTGGATATTCTGGTACCTGGAGAGTTGGCATAATAGTTATAACGTGCACGTACTGCACCACCTTTTCGGAAAACCATATCATATTTTGAATTGCATAGTAACTCTAAACAAAAAATAAATATATGGGAACTTGCTAGCAAAATGACCTACGAGCCATTGTTACATGAGATTTTTATTAGGAAAATAAAAAAAAATCCTAGCAAAGATCCCATATTATAATTCACTTTTCGTTAATAATAATGAGTGGTTTAATAGGTAAAATGTTAACCTATGACCTATTTTTGAATTATTTTGATTTTTTGAGAGTTATGAACATAGTACGACTGACCAAATCAGTATGGTATGTAGAGATGGGCAAGGTAATTACTTATTACGTAAAAAATCGAGCGACAATTTACTAATAACATGCTAAAGTGTCGCATAGTGTGATTTAACTTTTTACGTAATAAGTAATTGCCTTGCCCATCTCTAATGGTATGGGGATTACAGAAAATCAGTATTGGTATGGTAAATAAAACCATACCTAGTGATTTGAACCAAGAAAAATATATCTTCAATCGGTTAACCGAACCGAATTATTTTATGTCAACCGATAAATCTCTACTTCTCGTTACTACCTCGGAAATTTTCGGAGTTTCAAATTTTGTTTCAACCTTGCCAAATTAACATTTATATTTTTTTATATACAAAATATATCTAAAGATTTTGTATTCACCTTTTTAAACCCTAGTGATAAAACATTGGGTGGCTTTTCTTTGTTCCGGTTTGACACTGGCTCTTCATTAACAAGATCCGTTAGATTAATTTTTAATGTAATTACGTGCATCTATAAATTTAGTAGATAATGCATACATCTGCAAATTTGTTTTCGAAGCCATTCCCAGTGAGTCTTGCGGAAAGGACTGTTCAGTGTCATGAGTGAGGTTTTTAGAAAACTTATATAGTCTTCCTTATCACCTTTATGAATCAATTTGAGTTTCTTGCAGAAATGCGTGGTAAGAAAGTCATATAAACAGAGATATTTGGATAATAAACACACAAAACGCTGTTTTTGAATACATTCGAATGCATTCTTTAAAGGTTATCAATGTATTTTTTGAAGTTGCATTTTAATCAGAACGCGTATTACATTATTATATGAAGATCATCGCAGGAGTGTGTTATATAGTACATTTCATGTGATTATTATTCTAAACTAAATTTGGTCAATAGCTCACATTTTCCAAACCTTTATTAAGAGTTATCATACGCATGATCATACCTTATATGTTATCGTAGCTTCCTGCATTACAATAATAACTTGTTAGTACGAGTGGGCGCATATGCATATAGATGGATTCAAGTTGCAACCAGACATGATAACGTATAATCTGCAAAGAATAAATGGTTTTTCGTCATATTTTAAAAATGTGTTTTTCAGCATATGTAATTTAAGCACGTTCTTTTGACAAAAAAATTATGAAAATTTCCCAGCGAATAAGGGGTGACATCTTAACATAAAAGAAAATATGATATGATCTTTTGCATTTTTGAAGTTCTGTTTTTTTTTTGAAGAAATGACTGAGTCTGTAGTAGTTACCGTTGTTATTAATCATTCGTCAAATATGAAAGGAAAGATGTTTGAAATAGACGTCGTTAAATTACTAAAAAGTCTTGGTCTTAATTCTATACATGTAGGGTGAGTTTTCATTCTCATTGAGTATTTGTTAAGTCATCGTGTATCCGAAGGTACGCTGCCACTAGGTGTAAAATCGAATAGAATTGAAAGCACATCGTGGCCATTGTCATACTACAGTGAACGTTCTTCTGTTCGTATCCGAAAAGCTACCTCTATAATATAGAAAGGCTGGGTTCGGCATCCAGGGCGAGTGGTGAATAGGATACACGCTAATTATTGAAGACACATCACCGTAGACTATTCCGGCGTGGATTCTTTAATTGTTAATGATGATGACACATTTACTCACTTTTTTTTATTGATAGGGGGAGTAACGACGGGGGGGGTAGACATCATTTGTGAAGTGAAGGGATCACGGTCTTGTTTCAATGCAAGAATTGGGATGATAAAATCGGTAGGTTTTAGCGCTAAATCATGTTTGATTCAAGAAATTTGCTAATTGAAAGTAATGTAGGACCTTTCGTCGTTCGCGAGTTGAGGGGTGTGGTGTGCGAAAAAGAGCCCGGTACGATCGGTATCGTGGTCTCACCCCGCCTTAATTTTACCGAAATCGCTATAAATGAAGCGAAAGCTTCTAAATATATTAAAAACAGATCGAATAAATCTAAGCATCCTATCATCTTGACGGATATATCTCACCTCCCTCAGGTTATCATTAATATCATGTTAGATTCTCTTCAAAAAAGAGAATATAATTTTTCCTTTTATCATGACCTTGTAAATCATCAATCTTCGTATTGCACCCAATAATTCCGTCATATACTTTTCATTTCCTGTAATTTTTTTTATAAACATATAACGATAATATTAATAAAAGCTATCTTCAGTGGCTAATTTCAGTGCATATATGTATAATCGTTTGTTTTTTGCATGTGTATAATTATCGATAAAATTTTTAAAATTTTTTCTAATCTACGTGACAAATTGTCACGCACACAATTTTTTATTTAAACTAGGTGTTACCTCGCTTTGCTTTCGGTTTAAATCTACACATATAATTTTTTTTAGTCTACACTTATAATTCATCATATATACTGGATGAAATATAAATAATATGAAAGCTAAATGTAACATATGGCGCGGCTAGTTGTTTAACAATGAAGTAAGTTCTATCGGGTGTTTGATGAGTCCCTAGGCAGGACCTTTTTGATATTTAAATTTATTAGTAAAAGGACCTATCTAGAACTCTTTATCTCTATTAAAATATATATAATTTAGTGATTAACAAAAAGGTCCTGTTTAGGACTTATCAAACACCTGGTATAACTGATAAAGAACACCCTAATTATTCGTACACCACTTACTATAGTACCCGGGTACTAATTACAGAAGGTGGGTACTAATTACAGAAGGTGAGTACTATACTGAGTGGTTCACAAGTTTCACTATACAGTCTCTATAAAGTCATATAAAAAAAGGTGATCATGTAGTGGAACTTTGACACTCAAATTTATTACAGTACTATTGGTGCTTAATATTGAACCTTTCCAAAAAAATTATTGGCACTTCAGTCTATAATAAAAATGATTGATTTCATTTTTTTTACTATTATAACCTATGTTAATTTATTGTTACTTATTAAAAATAATTTAAAATTGTTACATTTTCTAATATGTATAATCAGAATAATTTGTCTGGAGCGTAGTAAAGGACACTATATTATTCTGTAAAAGGTGATATGCAAGGTTTGTTTGTTCGGCTACATTACGTAACTAACGTTCAATCAAATTGTAACACATATATAGTGTAGTAAATGTAATATAATTTGTAATTCAATACTTGTTCTGAACATACAATGCTATGCATTTACCTAGTAATATATAACTTAAGTTAATATATGAAGTTCATATATTATTGATTAGATGACTTATAGTCAGTAAGTCAAAATTTTCAAATTTTGTGATATTTTACAAATCTGTTATAATAAATAAGGATAGTAAAAAAATGATTTATACAGCTTTTTTGAAATTTTAAATCATTTTAAAAAACTTTTTAAAGCATCAATAATAAAATCTAAAAATGAAATTATCATTTTTGATTAGTTGATTTTAATATCAACCAGAACAGTATAAAAAATATTTTAAATATTGTATTTTATTACAGATATTACATATTAAAAACTTAAAAAAAATTCATTAAATATTTATTTAATTTAATAAATATGATATTTAATCTTTTGTTTATTATAGATTGTATCATCACTTCTAATACATCATATTTTATAAAATAAATTAAAAAGCTTATTAATAATATTAAATCTAATGACTGTTATTTTAAAC